GAGAGGAGCACTCCCACAGCTAGGGTGTTGATATCACTTGATCTTGATGAAAAACCACGTGTTTTGTTGTTTTCACGCACGTTATTCTTCGTGAGATAATCCAAAGTACGGAGCTTGAGCACTGAAAGGAAATGCAATTAAAAGGGATGGGAGAGTGAGCAGAATGTGTGAAGTATATAACCAAAGTGTCCTGGGCATCCAACGTAGGCTCCAAGTGACAAGCCCAGCGCACCTGCCATTTGTGACAAAACTGTGGACGAAGGAGAAAGAAACTCTGAGCAAGGACGCTACTATGGGCAAAGAGCATCGCTACTAGGAGCAAGGACGCTACTAGGGGCTCCTGGCCTTACTACTAGGAACAATGTTCGCTCCTAGTAACAAGAAAACATGAGACAAATGGATCTCTTGGAGCCGTGCAAGGCCAGGTGAAAACCAACCACCAGAAGCATTGGCCTCCAACCTAGTAGCGTCCTTGCTCCTAGTAGCGATGCCCTTTGCTCCTAGTAGCTTCTTGCTCCTAGTAGTAAGGCCAGGAGCTCTAGTAGCGTCCTTGCGCCTACTAGCGATACTAGCGATTCTAGCGATGGCCTCCAACCTACTTAACAATCTCGTAGATAGCTGCCTGTTAGAGCAAAGGCAATCTTGGTATCGATGAATGCATCGATTGCAACACAGGCAATCCCAACCTGGGCGTCTCTGCAAAATTGATATGAACATGAACCGCAGCGGAATACTCAACTGTCCAAAGCCAAATGGGCGTTGGACGATGCAAACAATGGCCACCCGCACATCTCTGCTGCTGTCAGGGCGGGCCTTCCGTCGCGTGACAGTGTCAACACATTGTGAATTTGTGTATCATGAACCACCTAACGTACGGAATGTTGACCAGGAACAGAATATGTGTAAAGATTCACAACGATGGTTCCCACGCAAAAAGGAACCCACAACTCTAGACTTGAATAGATGTGCATCATCGCTGGGCTCCAGACCATTTTGAAGAAGAGCTCGATTGACTCGATACATGGAAATCCCACAATGGCCACGAGGAGAAGCGAACAAACTCCGGCCACCTGATCCGGGGTGGTCGGAAGCGCACAAAACCCAGTCCCAAGTGGGTCAGATCAAAGGCGGCGCAAGGAATGTTGAAGTCTTCTTTCTGGGGCAAAGGCTGCGCAAGTCACCTGTGGAAGCGGGGACCTTAGGACAATTTATCCAAACAATTCAAGTGTTCGCGTTGAAATGAGCGAGCATTGTTCGTTCGGTGTCTTCATTACTTACCACATCTGGGCGTCCAGCTCAATTGGCAAGTTTTGCAGGGACAGCTTCCTGGTGAAAGGAATATATATATATATAATATATTAGATTTATGTTGCTTCACTGGTTCAAAACGTGTGCAGTGCAGGAGTTAGCATGTCTCTGGTCACTGGACTGGCCTGATGTCAGCACCATAGGCAAATGCCCCGGTCAAGCCCACGAGCAAGTAGATGCAAACACCTTCAGCTCATCTTCAATGCCAAAGGCTGGCAAAACCAAACTTTGACCAAGCTCAGGGCTGAAGGCTATGCTTGTTCGGACCACAGCCCGCATTGACTGCGCCTGACCGCCGGTCACCCTAACATTCATCTCTCCATTTTTGTCCTGGTGAATGGCTCGGGCCCGCACAGCAGATTCCACTGACCCGCATGCTGCAGCTTTATCCCCAACCAACTGGGACGAGCAGACGGGCATGTTCGATGCGGCCACACTCGTCATGGGCTTCATCAAGGGGTCTGCTTTACTGGCACAGCAGCAACTCTGCAAAGCACTCCGAAATCGAAGAGCTAATCTACAGGACGAGCAGGACCAAACCCGGTAAGCTCTCGGCTGGAAAAACGGCAAAAACCATAGAGAAAGAGAATGCCAGCGTAGCCATGTTCTGCGCCAAAAGCACCAGAGTTCAAATGACCATGACAGACCAACACACCTTTTGGGGGGGGGGGTCGAGCGTCGAATTCCGTCTGCTTCTCGATCGGTCCTCAAGAACTTCTTGAGGGTTGCCGCCAACTAAAGGAGGAGGCTTTGGGCAAGGCTCCTCTCACACACACACACACACCCGCTGAGGAAACAAAAACACTTGAGGGAGCTCCTTCTGAAACCAAGGCCAAATGAAGATTTCAAGGCCAAACAGTCATTGAAAGTGAGCCGCACTTCAAGACAGACCTCTGACCCCTTGTGCCGAAGCAATTGCTTGGGCCCATGGGCTCCTCTTGGCAGCCTTCTGAAAGAACCACCACACAGTTTCCAACAAATACTATAGCGGCCTTAGCGCCATTCCATAATGATGTTCAGCGCTGGAACCGAAACGGAGAAAAAGAAGATGTTAAAAAGTGATTATATATTGTATATATATATGGTATATGTAACTCATATGTAGATAGATGGTTGACGTAACAAATTACAAGAGTGCATGTCAAACAATCATTTCAATGTTCTTTCTCATGGCCCATTAGCCTGTTGCATCGTGTGAGCATTGGCAAGCATATTGCAACCCTCGTGTAAGAGCAGCACTGCAGACATGGAAAAGACACCAATCTTCGAAATGTAGGCCTCGCTTCGCTTGCTGAAGGGCACAGCAAAACACTCCCAAAGCCAACCCATTCATCATTAAAAACGCAGGGCAGTTGTCTCCCAAGACAATGGCGTTGTCTCCCATCGATCTCTTCAGCAGCTTCCTGAAGAATCCGAACACCTGTTTAATGGGATAAAGAACAGAAGTGCGAGACATGTCCGAGAGGAGGACGGCATTGAGATGATCACGAAAATAAGCCTGTCACATTCGCCAAACGAAACGGACGGCCCACTCAGGTCATGTGAGAAACAATGCCAAAATCGTGGAAATCAGCCTAATAGCGATGGCCTCCAACCTAATAGCGATGGCCTCCGATCTGATTAATAGCGATGGCCTCCAACCTAAAAGCAATTGTCTTCAAAACATCTGATGTTGGGTGGCGCAATCATTTGGCCTAGCTGACACAATCATGACAGCTTGACAACACGATGGCTCTTTTGGTCTTGCTGAGAATGGCTGTGGAGCCACCTGCAAGAACTTGACGCAAGCATATGCAAGCGATCATTTGGTGAGGCGACTACAATAGACTTTTGAAAAAAAGGGGGCTAAGTGCTATCTGAAGTCAAGCGGGGCTTGCGGATGAGCGGACAAAGATTGGCCTCTCTTGTTGATGTCTTCGCCTCATCGTTCTGAAGGAACAAGTATATAAAGTTGATTTCCTAACTGCGCCAACTAAGGTATGGACCAGTTAAGAATGCAAACACCACACAGACCTTTGACCAGGACGGAAAAACATGTTGGTACTAGCCAAAAAGAACACCAAGGAACTACAGTAGATTCTCTTGACACAGAACGAAGAACTCTCCGTACAATGTACAAGTGGATACAAATACTAGTTGCGCCAAAGAAGACGATGTCATTTTCATGCAAATGATTTTGAAATGGTCCAGATTGTTCAACACATGTCTTGAGCTTTGCACCAGGAGCTCCGTGGCAGCAGCTAAATAGCTCAACGAGGCCTCACCCGCAGACAAATCCACGAAGTCAACATGGCATAACGAGAACACTGGAACTCATGGGGCCCCCATGAGCCCGCAGTTAGACTTCAAGAGCAGGAGTTATATGTTATATGTGCAAAAGCCAAGGTTGGCGCAATAAAGGTCGTAATGCCGATGACAAATGCCTAAGTGAGAAGCGGGTCAACCAGAGCTTCTAGCCATGAACGTCCAAAGTTCAAAGAGTTGGTGACACAGCAACATCCATGCTGAGATCGTTGCCATGGCAAGCTTACCTCCTCTGCCCATTGCTGTGTTAGCAATTTCCTGTCAAACTCTTAAACGTCAAGATCCTGCAAAAGTTCTTGCCACTTGCACTCCTCTCTCGTTGCGTGAAATCCAACATCTGGTTCGGACAACGCAAGTTTATGCGATCGAATCAACTCTGATCATATTGACTAATACTGTACTAATACCCCCGAAATTTGGATTGAACAACCTCTTCATATTATGGGGAATGTTTATTGATCAACAGTCCACAGTAATGAGTACGCCGCCCATTGAAGCTGCTAAGTACTGTGCAGCTTGAAAGTTGGTCAAAAGCTGCTGTCGCCTCGTACTCTGAGCGGGAATGGATCTGAGCGCAGTCAAGAAGCCGCTCGATGGCCTGTGATCAAATCCAAGGACAAACGTTCCGAACTCGATATGAAATCATGAAATCAATTAATCATGAAATCATATCATATTACTTCTCAACTCTTCGGACTGTCACCACATCTCGATCAGCAATTCTGCTGAGGCAGTCGGGTCGCTCCAGCGTTGGCCCTAGTTGACCTCTTAGGGCTCCGGCTGTGTTGGCACAGAAGCCCAAGACCTCGGAGGGGTCCAAGTCACGAGACATCCGATCATCCGGATGTCCATCGGACCGAACCATTCCCCAAGAAGTGGGGACAACCGACTAGTAACAAGTGCCACGCTAGTAGTAACAAGTGCCTTACTAGTAGTAGCAAAAATGCTATTAATTAAAACAAAATTGAATTAAATTACTAATGGCTTCTTGTTACTACTAGTAAGGCACTTGTTACTACTAGCAAGAAGTGGGGACAACTGTCTTGGGGATCTTGGGAGTCTTCGTTGGTGTCTTCCAAGCATCAACACGTCTAGGTTGACGCATCTACCATGCGTCATCCTGGACATCCACAACGCGTTTCGGACGTCGCTCCGCAAGGTTCTGCGAAAGCCAGGCTTTGCCTGTGTCGCATCGTCCACGGGCAGCTTGCTACGTGGTGCACAGTGGGATTTCTGTGTCACGGCAAATCCACCTGATCAAATGGATTGAATAATTTGATATAATTTGAATATGATAGAATAGAACAAAGCACGAGCGTTGCTTTTACAAAGGCATTTGAGATGTATCCCACTATGCAAACTGCCGAGTCAGCCTGTTTACAGCGTCTTCACGACTTGGAATGCCTCCTGTAGCCTCTGTGAGACGAATCTAAGTTCAGACTCATCACATTGAGGTTTGATGGTGTCGCTTGCCTCGGCGTAAATGACCCTTTGCCAGTCTCAAAGCCTTACAGTATAACTTAGCCCACTAGCTGCCTTGGCCCAGTCTGGCTTGTACACAAGTTCACAAGTTCTGGCTACCTTAGCGACTTGTACACAAGTTCTGGCTTGTCTTAGTCCCTGCGAAACTTTTGTCTTGCAATGGAATCTTATCACGTACACCAACACACCCAATAGACCCCGGTCAACTGGATTTGCAGTACACCTCTTGCTTTGGATTTGCAGCTTCGGCGCAGCGAAGGCAACGAGACCTCAACAAAAAATCGCGGCTTTGCTGTGCTTGGATGATGATTGATGTCCAACCATCTTTTAACTAAACAACTAGCACAAGTATTTTGATTGTGGCTAAATGTCTTATGTCTTTGTATGTACAGTATGTACCCATGACCCAGGTTGCACCTGGTGGCTGTGTCTTTGAAATCTCTTTGTGAAGGTGCACGGTGTTCCTTTTCTGATGTAGTCATGTTGTAATTGATTCTTCAACATTCTTCAACATCATGTATTTTATTCAACCATCTTCGACCTCCAGATCTCTGGCCTTTGCCCACCCCTTCGCCAAAAGACTGAAGAGTTCATTCGGCCCAGGGCCTCAGGTGGACCTCTTGGAGGAGACGAATGCCCTGCCTCACGCATGGCGATCGCAGGGTGGGGTTAAAAAAACTCAGGATCTTCTTGTTACTTGTTCAGAAAAAAATAACGTAAGGAAGAAAAATTGATTTGCCCTAGGTCTTGTCGTTGGCGAAAAAGACGTTGGGACAGGGTAGTGCAAGGATTACAGTAAACACATGAACTGCCCCAAAGTTTGCCCTTGGTTTTCTGGGAACCATGCGCCTCATCGCGGTTGTGGCCATTGCCCTTCTCACTGACCTTGCTCTCTTTGTTCTCTGTTCCCGCCAAGATCTGCCTTGCACCTCAAAAACTGAACCCAAACACGGAGAAACCCCTAGAAAGCCGATAGGAAAACCAGTGCAATGACTCAGCAGTCTCATGAATCACTGGAAGCGGCAACTGCATCGAGCCTTTCAGGTCACTTTGCTCCACTGAAGCTAGAACAGACGCCTGGCGTTTGTGGTGGCTGGTTGTGTCCTCACTTTACAGTGTCAAAATAGCAATGATGTTAAGTTAAGTGTTGATCGCTAAATGTTGATCGTTAGGTCGCTTGCCGTTGGGTCACAAAAACTTTGTCCGCTGGATTTTAAGACTTGTGCAAAGCTGCATTGAAGCCCGCCTCAGCTTTGTCCATAAAGCCAAGCCTGCTCCGTTCTTTGCGCACTTTCTCCCGCAACTTCTCCAAACGCTGAACACGGAGAAGGCCGTCATCATATAGACGCTGAAAGGCAGTCTCCTCTCCTTGTGTGTGTAAACTTGCTGAAACCGCCGCCGCTTCTGAGCTTCGTTTGTTCATATTTCCTTGTCGACAATATCTTTAAGGAATTGTGAATTCTAATCAGCAACATTACCGTGTATATATACATATATCGCAGTTATGTTGTTTACACATCAAATCCAGTACCTGCATGTTTATGCTGTCCCCACCACAGAGCTGAGATATCTAGTAAGCACGTGCTGGCAGCTGCACTTATCCAAGGCTTCTTATACAACTCATAAGCTCGGCTTGTTCAGCCAAAGATCTCAGAAGTTCATCCATGCCAGTCTCTGCAGCCAGCTCCTTTGCTTTACTGCCAAACTTCTGTCGGTACCTTTCCAAAACATCTCGAAACTTCATCTGCAACTCCTCAATCATGACTCGAAGCCGGTTGCCGTCTCCCAGCAGTTCCTGCAATACTGGTCCACCTGTCTCAGTTTGAGTCTCTTGGGTTTCTGTGTTGTTCCTTCTGTCAAGCTCCTCCCTCATTTCATTTGCCTCTTGTGTCAAAGAAGCATGCTGCTCAAAAAGACGTTCCAGATCTTCCTGCAGGCGCTGCCGCTCACAAAAGTGTTCATCCTCCATCTGTTTCAGCTCCTCTTGAAGGCGTTCTTGGTCCATCTGCTGCTGATGACATTTCTCTTCACAAGAGCTCAGCTCAATTTCAATTCCTCGCATTACACAACGTAGATCCTCCAGCTGACCATGTCGCTGCGCGGACACCTTCTGCACCTCTGCAAGCTCTGCTTGCAATGCCTCTCTGGAGCTACGCTCAGTGGTAAGCTCTTCTTGGAGCCTCAGCAAGCTGAATCAGGAAGAAGTTTAGTGAATACATCCTGTCTACTATCCTGTCTCTAATGAGTGCAGGTGCAAATGGGAAGGACTTAGAGATACAAAACTGCACAAGTAGCCAGCAAAAATTGCAAAAGAATGTACACGGACCCAAGCCCAATCGAATATCATGAAAGGACTGCCCAGAAGCTGATGTGTCTCTTCTGCGTGCTCTTGGATGATCTTCTCACGCCGCTCCACTGCGGACATCAAATTTTCAATGTGCTCACGGTGCTGGTCTAGCTCAGCCTTTTGATGTTCGGTCAAGTCCCGAAGCTCCTCCAAACTTTCTTGCCAGGTGGGTTCCTGCTCTTTCAGTTCCTCAAAGGCTTTGGTTGTATCAGCCAAGGTGCTTCTCACCTCCTGCGGATGGGGTTCCTTTCACACCCGATGACAGAGCGCTACTGCAATGGTACTCAGAATGAATCAGTTGCGATGAGTTTATTAATTTTCTTGCTGGTTGATGCCTAGATCCTAGAACATTTGCTGTACCATGAATTGCCACAGGTCCTCCAATTCTTTGCGAAGCTTTGAACTTTCCGACTCAGCATACTCAAGCCTCACTTGGACAGCCTTCTTCTGAATGCGAACCTTTTGGAGACCAGACTGAATTTCCAGGATCTCATCCAAACCTGCAGCCTCTTCCTGCTTCACAATGGTTTCTGCATATCGCGTCAAAGCTTCCACAAGGGATGGTGGTGCAGTCCCGTTTTGAAGTTGTCGGATCTTGTCGCAAACCACAGCGATGACAAGCCTCTGCTGCTCCTCATCCATGAAGGTTAATGGCTCATGGAAGTTCACAGTGTCTTCTTTGAGGGATTCACTCAAGTGGCATCCATCTCTCATTGCCGCAATCTGCTTGACCGCTGCTAGGTTGCACTCATTCAGCTTCTGTTTGTAGTGCTGGACCTCTTGCAGAGCTGCTGCCAGCGGGCCATCATCGAACATCACATCATCTGCTTCTCTCAAGCAGCACCTGCACATCTCCTCAGCAAAGCCTTGAAGGTTGTTGTCATCCAGAGGCACACCAAACGATTTGCTGTAGCTTCCAATTAGCTTTTGAAAGCCGCTGCTTTCCTGCACTTTTAGAAGGAAGGAGGTTTCATTCAACCTGGTCCACCCATGGAAGCTGATCATGTCTGGTTGAGGTGACATGGCGAGGGCAAAGGCCAAAGGCCCCGAAATTGTGTGGAGACTTCCCAAGAGTAAAACCTAGCAGGTCCGGCCGCTGCCAGCGGCTTGCATCTTTCTCAAAGCTACATTTCAGCCAGGTCTGTAGGTCTTGGAATTCCCCAATTCTCTCAGTTTCATGCTCAATCCACTCCCTTAAGGAAACGAATGGCTGCGGCATCGGCATCTCACCAGTCGAGGATTCGAAAGGCACAATGCCAACAAGGCCGGACTAAGTGCAAGGACCACAACGAAAAGACCTCCCTGCAAAACTCCGAGGACGTGAAAGCAATACCTTGGCTACTAGGAGCAAAGGGCATCGCTACTAGGAGCAAGGACGCTACTAGGGGCTCCTGGCCTTACTATAAGTAAGAAAATTCTACTAGGAGCAAAGGGCATCGCTACCAGGAGCAAGGACGCTACTAGTAGCTCCTGGCCGTACTACTAGGAACCTAGAAGCGGCAGCAGAATGCGACAACAGCGGCTACATCTCAGGGTTCGCTTGCTGAGACTCCCGACGGGATGGCAAACACTCCAACGCCCAGCGACATGGAGGTCAGCTGCCAAACTGCCCGGAAATCCTTCCAGCACGTCGAACGCGCTCCGAAAAGCTGCAATGTCCAACCTCTCAATATCAAAGGCGCTGACAATGCCACGATTGGCAGGCACCAGTGATTCATCTTCAGGGCAATCGATACTCATCATCTGTCCTGCCGTATGAGCATCAACTTCAAACCACAAATCAACTTGGCTGTGCACTTCATCGCTCTCTCGCTGTCTCTCTCTCTCTCTCTCTCTTTCTCTGAGACTTTGCGCCTCGCTTGTCCTTTGAGCAACCATGGCTGTGGGTGTTGGTTTGATGCAAGTTCACAAAGCTGGGTTGTCTTCGGATCTTCAGCAGTTCGCTGCAGAAAGGCAAGAAGCAGTGCTATCCTGGTTTGGTTTAGTGAGGGGCATTCAGTGGTACAGTATGTTGAAGAAACAAAACGTGTGGCACAGGAAAAAGTAGGAATCTGAAGTACAAAAGCCTAAATTCGGCTGTAGCATCGTGAAGATAGCAAATAGATGTAAATCGTTTGAGCCACAAAAAAATCACAGCAAAATTCTGATGGGTCTCGATGGACCAAAACATCAAAGTTGACTTCCTAAGTTGTAGTGAAAGAGAATCCAGCGCCATGTTCGAATGCTCAAAACATCCAAGAACATTGAACACATGCCGCCATTGCCAACCACATCGATGCAGCCTTGGCAAGAGGGACTCAGCTGCAACTATTCATGTGATTTTCATAGTGAATCGGTCGGGCAAGTGGAAGCTGCAAGCTGTGTTCTAATAAAGGTACATAAAGGTTTTAGCAAATGATAGCTCACTCGCTGTCCTTATCATCACTGTTTCCGGAAGCCGTCTTGACTGCATGTTAAAGTGTCATGAGTGGTACTCAAAAGTGCCAGCTGTATACACATGCAAATGATGAACCTATTATTTGTTGTCATGCAGGATGCTAAGCGGACCATTTTCTTGTAGCGCATCAACGCGCTCTCTCGGATCACCAGCGTTCACCACTATCGCAGCGGTGTGGTTCTCAGACCGCGATCTCACTGCGTGGTAGAACTGCTAGGACTCCGTGTGGATTCGTGGCATCGAAGCATCACTGATCTGTGGCATGCAGCTAGCTCTGTGCCACTGCTGGGGGCTTCAGGCGGTACCAGCCCATCTTTGCAAAGCTTTGCGTTTGGCGACGAAAGAGGATTGAAATCTTCGAAACAATAGTTGCTTCTCTGAGTCCAATGCATCCTATCTTGACATACTGTAGCTGGCCCTGGCTCTTGACTCACGGTGTTAATATTTTGCAAAACTGCATCTTGAACAGTCACAACAAGAAGTTCATCTGCAGGTTGTTGTTTCTTTCGACGCCGTCAGCTGCTTTGGGACATTCAGATGGCTTGGTGGCGCTACCTCAGAAAAAGAACTGAAAGGCACCGAGTGTTTGTATCTGATTGCCTTTGTTACTATAGTTACTAGATGTTACTAGTAGCTTCTTGCTCCTAGTAGTAAGGCCAGGAGCCCCTAATAGCGTCCTTGCTCCTAGTAGCGATGCCCTTTGCTCCTAGTAGCTTCTTGCTCCGAGTAGTGAGGCCAAGAGCCCCTAGTAGCGTCCTTGCTCCTTAGTAGCGATGCCAGGAGCCCCTAGTAGCGTCTTTTTGTCTTTTTGTATTTGATTGTTGAGTCCGAGCATCCGCACGGTCAGACCTTTTGCTTTTTTGAGGTACTTGATTCACTCGAAGAACTGGAGGGTGACCTGGATCACTGAAGTCTACAACACTGAACTGCGTAAAGAAAACCAAACAAGAACTGGCCTCTTCCGACTCTTGGCTTCAGCTGTTGGAATGGCCTGCGGGCCATCTCCACTCCTTAGCAGCGGCCATTGTGCTGAATGCGAATCTGAGTTCCACAGATATTACTGGACCTATTGTCTACAATCAACTTGTGGTATGGACTTCATGGAGTGATTCAGGCTAATTAACCACAGCAATGATTTTGCGCATCAAAGAAGGAAGAAAACATGAAAACTCTCGCCACAAAAAACGGAATGACACCAATGAAGTCGCTCCCCCAAGTCCCTGACCGTGATGAGTCGCTGTCGGAGACAGCTGCCTGTCCCGGGATTGGACGAAAAAGCAGGGAAAAACACTCAAATTTCGCTGCCAGGATGGGCACCAGCGCCAGCCCTGGGTGTCTGCAAGATGGCCAGGCGAAAACGCGGCCACCGAAAGAAAGCGAGTTCGGCGAAAGGCCAAGACAAAGCACTTTGGTAATGCTTAAATCTTCTTATGCAAATGCGACAGCTCAATTCATGCACTAGTTAAATCTATTTACTGTAAATCATTGTAAGTCCAAGCGTTTAAATTCCATGAAGCAGCACACAGGTCATGCAAAATCATAAAATGAATTGTGTCATTTGCCAAAATCCTGCGCTGCAGCGAAGGTGCCCCTGACGAACCTTGTGCAAAAAGACTCTCGGGGCGAACCAAGGTGATACCGAATACTGCGGTTTTCCCCATAGGTTTCATGGGAATTCCCCATAGGTTTCAATTCAGTGCTATTAAGTTGGAGGTCATCGCTACCAGTAGTAGGTTGGAGGCCGTGGCTAGTAGTTGGAGGACGTTGCATCTTTCCTAATCTCCCTAATCTCTCAACACCACACATTCTGTAATTCTGTATACATCTTTAATATGTACAAAGGAGACACGTGCACAAATATCACAAATGCCCTATGCGTTCAGGATGTGTTTCATGATCTGGTCCAGAAACAAGCCAGCATGCAACCTCAGAGACCTTCCTGATTCCTTACCCATGATCACAAAAGATTCTTGCAATGTTTTGCTGCACTTAGTTTATGCTCCAGGTCTCAATATGTCTCAATGTCTTCCCAAAACTGAGATCTCTGGGCAAACATGGACCTCTGACGATGTTTCTTTCGCGCACGAAACCTCCAAGAGGCAACGGTTTCGCGACCTGAAGGGCGGCAAATGGCCCACCAGACGACACGGTCAGACGACACGTGTGACACGGGCTTTGGAAAATGGAAGTGGGTCAAAACTCAAAACAACCTTTCATCTCTGTAGCCCTGTGGTCAACAGTTCTGGGTTGTAGAAGCAAGACCTCTTTTTTTGACCCACACCCACTTTTGTCACAGCTGCTAGTCCAAAGAAAAGCGGTTGGTTTGCTGCAAAAGGTAGAGTTTAGTAACTGCCAGAAAGCAGCCCAGAGACCACGTTGGCAGTAAGTGGCTTCCAAGCCACAAGCCAAGGCGCAAAGGATGGTGTTCGAACAGCAGTGCTCTGTGAACTAAGGTGAGCATTGCTCCTCAATGGCTACCTCAGCAGATGCCGATGGCATTTCTGAGGTTTCTTGCTCAGTGTCTGCCCTCCATGCCACAATAGGTGGGCAAACTCTTTCCAAACATTCTTTCTTTCTGAAAGGGAAGTCAGTCCCCATAGCGTCTTTAATTCAGCAGCTCTGACCCAGTACCTGGTGCTCCTTGGTCTGCGCTGCCAGAGTTTAGGTTGCCACCACTGCCATTAGCAGATTCGGGCCGTCATCGATTGCATTTCGAGAGCTCCGCTCTCCATGCTCTCCTGAGAATGTCTCGCAAAGCGAATGGCCCGACCTTCCCCAGTTTGCCCAGTCTGCAAAAACACCAGCGACAACCCGAAAAGAACGAATCCCGAAAAGAACGGAAAACAAAAAAACCGCCGAAGAAGAAACGCCCTCGAAAACGCACGTGGCCATCAAAACCAGTCTCCCTGGGTCCATCGACCTGGGAGCGTGAAGCTTCGCGGCGGCCACGCGACTCGACTCGACCGAAGCGCAGCAACCCACCAGGGGAAGCGAACCGCGGGGTTCGTGGTGCGACCCCGGTTGGCAAGTGGGATTTGCAACAAGAATGTCTTGGAAATTGTATGGAAACGCCGTATGACTTCAGTTCCATACCTGAAATGATTGGCTCGCTCCAATCCAATGTGCAAACAGCTTGGAGGATCTCGGAGGGGAACTGAGGGGAACCCCCAAAATGCTGCACCCAGCCTGCCCAGTGTCCCCGCCTCGCCACGGAAAAGGATGTTCTGCCTGCGCTCTTCCTCCCGCTGTTGGATGACCTGTCGAATTGCTGAAGCTGCTTGAATCTTAGGCAAGGTCGGCTTCCCTGTATCTGGAACTTAAACCTGGGATACAAAATGTTCGAGATCATATACTGAATATACTGTGTATGTGTGTATAATACTGTTGAATCCTTTTGGGGGACGCCAGATATTTGCACGCGGGCTTTGCGCTCAAACGAAGTCCAACGTCTTTCATACATCTAGACACATCAAAAGAATATAAACCCTTCTTGATCTGTTGCCCTTCCAGAACTGATGTTTGCAAAACAAAAGAATCCAAAAAAACACATCTGATGCCTGATGCCCCACATCTGATCGAGCATCAG